TTTTTTTTCCAGAGTTCCTAGTAAGAGCTGTAACTGAACTCTGGCTTTCCTAATATGCATTGAATTCAGTTTCAGTGTTTTTAGAAACACATTTTCTGCACAGGGTTAGCACAGGGAATGCCTGCTTGGGCCCCTCCTTTCTCTGTACTGCCAGTGGGACTTAATGTTCAGCACCTCCTTTCAGGCTTGAAAACAAGTAACTGCACTTTTCTCTTTAAAGAATCACAATGCCATTTCTTCCTACCAAAAAAAAAAAAAAAAAAAAAAACAAAATCTCACAAAACTTGTTAATAATGTATACTCTGCCTAGCTTTCACCAGTTTATTAGAAAATAAAGATTGCACTAAAAATACTGATGGAAAAGGATGCCACCCTGTGCCATGAGCTCTAGGTGTCCTTGTTGGAGCAGAGGGGTTGGAACTAGATGCTCTCTAGAGGTCCCTTCCAACCTCTACCATTCTGTGAGTCTGTGAAAAGGCTTACACAACAATCTACACAGTCATTATTTTCTGGCATAACAGCTCTTGAATACATCCCACACTGCAAATTTCAAGGGGATGCAGCTGAATTCCTGATGATTTACGACATACTCACCAGTGTATCAGAGTTTAGAATCTGTCGCAAGAAATCCAAGAAAGAAGAGGCCAGTTCACCCGTGTCTTTGCTGAAGTTGCTTATTACTCTCTTCAACACAGTGTACAGAGCACTGCTGTGTTTTCTTAGGGCACTGTTTCCACAGTAAGAAAAAGAAAATGTTTTATTAACGCTTACATTGTGAACATGTTCCACTAACTAGCTGTAAGAAGAAAACAACATCTATAAAAGCTAAGTGCAGTAATTTAATAATTATCATGGTAGAGTTTGGTTATGAAGTTGGAGCTTCAGTATTTTCTCTGTACTAAGCTGCTGTTCCCACTGGTGGCGTGTGCAGGTATTTCAGGTTGCACACACTGACACACATACTGTGGCAGTATCTCTAAGAAATTAAATTCCCAGCTCTGGTGGAGATGGGCTAGTAGCACAGGAGGAAAGTAGCATATAAGTAAAAATGGGTCCAAATACAGGGGGGGATAAAGTGTCAAAAGGGGGCAGACTGTCCAACACATTTTTATATTCCATTAAAATGAAAAAGGCTCAACAAAATAGTAACAAAATCCTCCGTTCTCCATGGAGAACTTCAGTTCACCCTGGAGAAAGGAAAGGTGCCACCTGAATCCCCCATAACAAATGGGATGAGAAACAGGTCTCCAGTGTCCTGTGAAAGGGCCCTCCCTACGACATTATTGTTGCTTTCAAAGGGGAGGCCACAAGCACCAACCCTCACTTCCATCCTCTTGCCTTTAGATGGAGGAGGGAAGGGCACAAGTGTTTTTAGCTGATTGTTTTTTGAAAGAAAGTGCTTCTTTCAAATTCACAGTTCTTAAAAAAATTCTTAAAATTCAAGCCAAAGGAGACTGAAGTACAAAGTAAGTCACACACACACCCCACACGCCCCAAAAATGAAGGTTCATGTGACTTATCCTCTGAATTTCCTGCTAGCCTAAGGCAGTGCCCTACTCAGGGTGTTGGATGTTGCTCGTATTTCAGTGGAAGATGTTGCATTTTTCGCATGCAAGGTATAAAAGAGCTTAGTTACTTTCCTTCATAGCAACCAAATGATGATGGTGTTTAAAACTCCACCTATATCAAAAGTGTGATCATTTGATTATCCTCCCCTGCCACACACCACAATTTTTAAACTGTAAATCTTGCAAACTCTCATTAAATACTGTCTTTCTAGCAGACCACTATTTCAAATATATTTGAGATTCTTAAAGAAGTGACAATTTACAAAATTTCGAAATCTTTCTAAACACATCACCGACTCCCCACCACGGAAGTTTTTACAAATCCGAAGTTCCTGGAGTTATCTTGGAGCACCAGACCTCTTCAAGTGATAGAAGCCGTAGTCATGCTCTGTGAGGAACATCATGGTCCGGATACACGTCAGCAGGCAGCTGTAAGTGCTCTCAGCATTAGTCAGGGTTTCCATGAGGCAGTCACAAACCAAGGGCATCATCTCTTTGCTTGGTAAGGAATTGGAAAGCTGATCTAATTCAGAGGCAGAACCTTCTGACGAACTTGGTATAATGAGTGCAATATCCTGTAAGAAGTGGTTATTAAGTATATGGTTTAAAAAAAAAAAAAAACTTTCAGCATACCAGCAATAAACCATGCAATAATTCAGAAAACACTACATTTCTTTGCTACACCCTCTCTCTTGTACTTGACAGCTGATTACTGACCAGTAAAACACTAACTCGGTGTATCCTCAGTGTAAGAGTTACAAATAATTACTGATTTTTAAAATTATAAAAGCTTCAAAGGCAAAAAGTGATAACAGAGCCACAACTAAAAGTCAAACTGTCACCGAATAATGTCTCATACTTGCAGATAGCTTCTTGCTTAGGTAGTCAAACTACGTCTTTATTTCAACACATTCATCAAAATTAAGACGTTTCAAATACCACCTGGAAAGCTTTACATCTATTATCCCTCCCCTCTGTGTTTTATGCAACATGAAACAAGATTTTACAATGAATTTGCCAGGGTCTTATTCACAGTTCTTATTCATACACATAAGACTGACTGATCTCTTTACTGGCCAACAAATCCACAATGTTTTTTGCATAAAGGGGTAAGCACTATAGCAAATAAATACATGTAGCTACTAACACAAGCACTAACATGTAAATCTATGCAAGCAACCAATGAGAAACTACCTGGTCTGGTCCATAAAAGAATCTTCAGGTAGCATTTCTTATTTTGCTATGGTAATGATTTTTGTTTTAATGGTGAAATTTTATGGTAACTGTGTATCCTTATGTTTTGCTTCTATCTTTATATTTGGAATAAATTCTTAAGAGGGTTGAACTAGACGGCTAAGACAGAAACATTTATTTAACTGGGTAAAAGGTGATCACTGCCAATGAGCCAAAATCTTCCAACAAGGAGAGATGACACCCTCTCTGCTGGAAGAACAGTCCGTCTTTGTGCCATCCAGTTCTCAGCCTCTGATGCTCTATGAGAAGACTGTCTACTGCAAAGGAGAAATGAAAGAATTTGCACTGAAGTGTAACAAGACCCACAGCATGTGGGTCAGAGCCAACCCCACAAGCCTTCCCTGTTTATGGTGCAGTAGTGTTGATAGGGCTTTTCTTTTGGACAAAACTGGCGCCTGAACAAAGAACCTCACTACAATTGTCTCCTAGAAGTACAATTTCCACACGTGGTATGCATTAAATATATAAATACCTGATCGCAGAGGGACTGCAAAAGGGAAGCCACACATTCAGCACTCTGTTGATGAACAACGTTGTCTCCGACTGATCGCATTAACGCCAAGAGCTCCTGGAAAATTTCTGAGTATTTTTCGTCACCTTTACTAGTTCCATTGATCAGATGCAAAATAGCTGATTTACAAGCTTTGTGTGAAGCCAGGGCATCCAATAAAGCAAGTAATCGAGTGGTCTGCCCAGTGTATTGTTTCTCTTTATCTTCTGTGCTGCTGAACGAGAATTAAAAAAACACTTCAAAATAACTTTTCCCACATATTCAAAGTGATTTTTAACTATAAAAGCAACGATTGCAAGAGTCACAATGCTGCATTTTAAACAGAACACCTAGTTTACATACTTAAACTTCTGGCTTCAGTATTCTTAGAAAACTGCTCGAATTTCACTAGATGTCTTTTGTTTGTATTACATATTAGCTAACTTACCATTCCTTTTACAATCTACACTGCATCTAATTATATGTGGCTAAATGTGCTTTTAAATACCTAGTACTCGTTGTTTCAATAACCTCTCAAATGATGATGGTCAACTGCTTGCAGACTCCTACACGTTTTCCAGTTGAGATGCTCACCCCAATAGAGCAAGTTTGCCCCTACTATCAGGGGGCCTATTTCTCACATTTTTTTCAAAGACATCCTTTAGAAGAAGTCCACAGAAACAGAAAAGGTTGCATAGGTGTTGAAAAACACCTTCCTATAAAAGTATAATGTTAAACTGTATAAATATATGCATATATAAAGGACATTGTTGGTTGGCAATATTAAGCAGTATATTACTGGACCGAGAACTCAAATTCACAAAGGATAAACAATACTTCCGAAATTAACTGTTTTTCTCCTGATAAACTACTGAACAGAACAAGGCTGAATTTCAAGCAATCCATTAAGTCTTTGCAACAGAAAACAACTACCTCTGTAGATCTTCTATGATCAGATCCAGCACAGTCCTCATGATAAGAAGTGCAGTAGGGGAAGCCAAGTCGCAGAGCTGAACACAAATACGTCTCAACATATGCTGGATAGGCTGGCAAGAAGAGCCCGAGAACGACCGAACTATCTCCTGGATGAGCTTGGCTTGCACGTGAAGGTGCATGCTCCACAGCTTCCTGGTGTTGAGAGCCACTGAGATGTCGTGCGCCTCGATTACCTGCAGGAACAGGAAAACAGAAGGATTGCCTTCAACTCCTATCGGGAAACCTGAATTCTACCACAAGGTATAAATAAATAAACAGAGTGTTCTTCAAAGACATGCAGTGCCATTTGCATTCATATGGGGCAAAATTTGAAATAACAAAATAACAAATTAAACAAATTCCACCAAGTGAGGTATTCCCAAAGGAATACACAAAATCAAAAACATCTTTAATGCCAACTTACTTGTTAAAAATAAAAAAAAAATCAAGATTCATTGCAAAAAGGGGACAGTCCTAAAGACAGAGTCATCCGGAGTTCAGCATTCAATGTAAAATTCAAAGGCTTCCAAATCAATCATTTAAGTAATACAGTGAAACTACAGGGAGCCTGACAAAGCAATCCATTAATTTAAAAACATATCCCACATAAGAACAATTTTGTTTCTGAAGAAATGCATCTACAGCCAATCAGTCTGAACTCAACTGCTTTACAGAAACTTTAATTCATTCTTCAGCTCATTACAAGAATTCAGCTCATTACAAGAATGGTCTAAAAGGCATAATCAGAAGTCTTTAAAATCTGAATAAATTTGAACTCTACCTGAGTTGTCTGCATAGGTAGTGGAAGAGGCAACAGTTCTGAAAGCAGTATAAGTCCAGAAAAGAAGCCTTCGGGAATTCTCAAAATTGAAGAGAGAACTTCTTTTAGCATTAAGGACCACGTATTATTCGCCAAAGTCTCTTCTGAAATGGTGAGTTTCTCGTTAACGCCCTGGGTAAAAGTCAGCAGGATGTCAACGATGTCATTCTGAATCTTCTGCTCGTCGCTATCCAGGCGGCCCGAGAGGGGGATGGAGCAGAGGAGCATGTGCAGGGAGACGAGCGCTGCCGGCACGCGCATGTCTTTGAACTCGAAGGAGCCGCCGCGGAGCAGCTCCGTGAGCATCGTTTTGAGGAGCGTGAGGGTGCAGCGGGCCATGGAGATGGTGGTGACGCGGTGAAGCGTCGTGCCCATGTTGACGTGGAGCCGCCAGGGCTGGATAAGGACGCTGTTGAGCTTCTGCAGGACCCGAATGAACGTGTCCATTCCTTCGGAGGAGAAGAGCTGAATGACGGCAAGATTCCACTTCAGGTCTTTCTGTTGACCTGCGCAGAAGAAAAATAACATTTCTATAAGCCAAATTCCTCTTAGGCAATCACAGTGATGCTTCAGACTCAGTGAAGCAAGCTGAGATTTTGGGGCTAAGTGGTACAGGTGCAACCGCCCTACCTTCTACCAGAGGTGGCGGACATGCAACGTGGCAAAGAACACGCAGAGCAGTAGGAAGACCAACGCCATCTGGGGTCATCAAGCTGTCAATATTCTTTAAACAAAACAAAAAATGAACCTCTATTACAAGAGAGAACTTTATGTAGAACGTATTACCAGCCTAGTTTTCTGAATATATAGTTACACAATTGCTAACACATCTATTTGTACAGATGAGCAAATCTAACACAATGTAAAGAGAACCTGGATCTTGGTGCCACTCATTTCCCACTTTTCGAAAATAAAAAATTCCACTCTTCACTAATTATCATCTCGTTCTGACAATCTGCAGTTATACATTTTGATACATACTCTTGGTGCCACTCATTTCCCACTTTTCAAAAATAAAAAGTTCCACTCTTTACTAATTATCATCTCGTTCTGACAACCTGCAGTTATACATTTTGATACACATCAATGTATCAAAAACTCCACTGGAACAAAGGGCTTGAAAACTACTTATGAACAAAGGACTGCTATTGTTTAAAACAGGTATTCACATCCATTTATCATCCACTGACTAATATCTGTCTCTGTGCAAGGGAACAAAGGTCTTCAGGACTCTTTTTCCACAGGTGATTGGCCATCTAACTAAATCAAAAACAAATGGACCATGTGTTTCAGCTGTCTCTCATGACTATTTTCCTAGATTTTTTACTCCCAATAAAGGTACATTTCAGATTAATTCTCAAGGAAAAGGGGGAAAGTAACAGCTAGTGCTAAAACTGTGTTTCAGTGGAGCCTGCTGAAAGGGGAGAGTTATCCTCTGGGAGACAGCTTCAGAAGAAGCCATCTGGGAGTCCCTGTCAGCTTGCCTAGTGAAAATGTACTCACTATTTGGCCTTGGGAAGTAACTGCAGTTGACAGATAAATACTGCTGGCTGCTCATTACAGCTGAAAACAGAGCTTGCCTTGCTAGTTCCCAACGACTGGCAGCCTACCACTCAAGCCCCTATTCTGAGACCTCTTCAGACTGATCATATGTATCCCATGCCTTACATTCCCAATGCACAGGTCCAGGATACAAGTCCCTGCAGTCCAGAGGCACAACCACCTCTGCAGTGATCAGCTGCACTTACAGGAGGAGCTGCTACCCACTTCACCTCACCCCGTGTGCACCCACGACAGTGCACAAACTAACAAGGGAAAAAGGAAGGGCACATAGCAAGGCTCTGAGCAAACCTTCAGAAGAAAGCAGCAGTTTTATAGCTTGGGGACAAGGCCATGCATAAAACAACATGATTTATCTTTTTCTTAATCGGATTTCTCTTTTTTTTCCCCCTCACTACCAGGTCTGAGGTGCAGTCCTTAGAGTGCTGCAGGTAACCAGGGTAGGGTGTGCTAAAACTCTCAGCTTCCAGAGGCCACCCCAGCTTGAAGCAGCAACCTCAGAACTGGCTTAATTGCTTTGGCCACTAATTCCCACTATGCTGCTGGAAGATCTGCAGCTTTCCTAATTAAATTGCACCTCCTGGATTTCAGGTCAGCTCCGCTCACAGTCTTGCAATATATCAGAACACACCTTTTCCACTCTGACCACAGCCATGCAGTTGTTCTTGATCACTGTATAGTTACAGATCTCACACCTTAAAGTTTTTCAACTCGTGAGAATGTACTGTAAACCAAAAATTTGCATCATTTAAATCAAAGTTTTTATATTTGGTTTTGCTACTTGAGTGTCTGCAGTGAAAGACTCAGAATCAGAAACAATATAGAAAAATGCATATAACGAAGGATCTGTACATTTTTCCAAATTACCTCTAGATTGTTTGCACAATGAGACAAACTTTGCATCACTCATTTACCTTAGTTTTGGTTCCATTATGAGAGTGAGGGTAGCTTTAATAAAAACATACATTTTGGATAATAATATAACCTCTTAAGCAATTACATTAGTACACTCATAAATACCAAACTAAAAAAAGTGCAAGATCACAGACAATCATTAAAGTTAAAACTATTAGTATTTTACTCACCTGTTTAATGTATTCAATAAGATTTGGAATACAGTTAATTTCAAATCTAAGATTTTTCAATGGTTCAAGCCACTTGCTAAGCTCTGGGGAGGAAAAAAGAAAAAAATATATTTACATTTAATCAACTATCTTGTCAATGCATTTATTATCATAAAACATTCTGAAATACAATTGTAGTTAAACTAAAGTTCTTACACACTGATATACTCTTAGTCCAAAACAACCTGAATGTCCTAACCTCTTGGGCAACTTTTCAAAATCTATTTTTCCTAAAAACTACCCATTAGAATGTGACAGTTCAAAGGTCAAACAACTGGGAATCGACAACTATTTTAAGTCTCACTTCATGAGTTGGATTAATAAACTAGCCCCTCTTCTCATGAAATGGTCTAAGGACTGGGTGAAGAAAAAAGAAGTAAGAGCCCAGAAGAGGAAATCAAACAAACTCTTGAAGAGTTCTGATTTCTTTAAGTGCATTTAAGCTTCAGAAGAAATTAATGGTCTGTCTACACCAGTCAGTCGAGCAAGTGGAGAGGTCATCCCTGAACACGACAGTCCAGGTGCCAGAATGGTCTCCAGCAGCATTTTGTTTGAACACCTCCATTTCCAATCTGATCCCACACCTGATATGTGAATGACCACAGGCCAGGAAACATCCCCAAAAGATAAGCTGGGGACCAAAATATTTAGTAATAGAGAGCTAGAGGATGCCAGTTGGCCTGACAGCCACAAAACAGTCCCAGGAACCTTCCTTTTCCCAGCACGTGCACAGCCTACACCGCCCAGCAAAACCACCAAGGTAAAGGCCACGCACTGACTAGCCCAGGCTTACTAAAACTTGCTGCCCTAAGTTATTTTCAACACAGAAATAATTGCAAACTTCCTGTAATTATGCAAAATTCTTAGTAGTAATATTACTTGAAAAAATATTTAACTAGAAATAATCTCCCATTGAATTCTCATTAACAGAAAAAATTACACATCTCTCAGTGACTCAACTGAACAGATGCTGCTAGAAAAGGAATTTCATTATATACATTAGCCAAACCAGATGACTGTGAAGTACCAATTACTCACATATAAAAGGTTTCTTCTATACATCCAAACAATTCAGTTGCTAATGACATATATTGTACCTTGCAATTTGGTGTTATTTTCGTCGGCCTTACACAGCTTGAGCAGAGGAGCCGAGTGCTGTTCCAGCATTTGGACATCACTGGAAGACTGAACCACCAGCAAAACAAGGATGCAGGCATAATTATAAGCAACTGACTTCTTAGACTTTGAGTCCCTGAAACGAGGAAAAAGGTTTTCTTTAAATCTCAGCTAATGCAACTGGTATTATTTAGATTACTCATTCTCTGACCTTGAGCTCTAACCTCATCTTAGTAACCCTCTTACCTTCACCAAGGCTGTATCATATAATTATCATGGGAAAAAAAATCTCCTTTACTATTTGAAAAATGAAAGCTCTTTGATTTACATTCCCTTCAGCATTTAGGAAGGAGGGGGACTGTGATCACTCACTAGAATCAAGCACCAAGCAAATCTTTTTTCTTTTAATTTTTTTGTGTCCTTTTCAAATCCTGATCTAAAAGCACTGTAACCTGACATAGCAACCTTGCCTGTTCAGAGAAAACAATATTTAACACTTATAAAAACTTCAGGAACTGAGAGATACTCACTCCATCCCAGACAAGCTGGCAATGCTCAATCTCCCCAGACCTTATTTCGCAGTCAAATGTTATGCTTGAATGAAAATTGCCTGCTTATTAATCATTTCTTATCAGCTATGTATCATAGCACCTCTCCAGAAAATCTACATCGTTTCTGGGCATTAGGTACTCATTCACAAATGACAAGACTGATTTTCTCTTATGCTGCTCTACTTAAAAGCTTTCAAAAAATCAGCATGATCTAACAGAATGAAAGTTTTTTAGATTTAATGAACTATTTTTAGCGGTAGATACTTTTCAAATGCAAAAAACTAAAGAAGATAAATGAATATAGAAATTACCCTAAGGCTTCCTTGGAATAGTACTCCATTAAAGTTATAAGGCTTTGTAGGTTTTTCTCCAGACTGAACACATGTGCCACAGCAGACCGCCCGACGGGGTTAAAGGTGATCAGGTAGAGGTTGTGCAGGGTTCCCAGCAGGTCCGAGTGGTCCGTCTCCTCACTGGCCGTGCACCGCTGGAAGTGGCAGAAGAGCTCGGAAATGCACTGCAAGGTCTGCGTCGAATGCAGGAGCCACAGGGCAAAGGCATCCTCGTTCGCGCCGTCCGACTGGAGACCTTCCTCTTGGTCGGGATCAGAGAGCTGGCAAAGTGCCCGGATCAGCAAGTTGGTGGCTTCGTACTCGGCCAGGAAGAAGAGCAGCCCCTTGTGCGACTGCGCCAGGAAGCGCAGCACGTCCCGCACGGCCGCGAGCACCCCGGGGTGAGCGCTGGTCGCCGGCACGGACAGCAGCAGCGTGAGGCACGCCAGGAAGTGGTGGCTGTGCAGATACCTGCAAAAACGGACAGGAAAGGAAGGAGCAGCGTGGCAGCCGACCGCCAACAGCGCGCACCGACAGAACGCGCCGGTATTGGCCTCCCGGCTCCAGCGCCTGTTCTCTTGGGGGATGTGAGAAGTAACAACCTATTAGGTAGTAAAAAGAAGTCTAATCGTAAAAAATAATTGCTACTATGGCTACAAGAGCTAAATCCCTGACATAAAAAGTACTGATTACAAAAAAAAAAAATTGTCTTTTATTAAATTTGTTGTATTTGAATTAGACACTAGATTTGTCTAAGACTAAGAAAACAAACTAAGAAAACCACTGAACCCAAGGAAGGGGTATTTTGAAGACTGTTTTCTTTTAGATTATATTCAGCTCTGACCTACACTGTTACTATCAAAGAAACCCGAGAGAGGTAAGAGGCATGGTTTCTGGATGGCAGTTTGCTCATGGAGAGTTAACCAATGGTAATTCTCACGCGGCTGAGCGCGGAGAGGCCTCAGCTCCTCTGCCCGTGCTCCGAGCTGGCGAGCCGCGCCGACACGAGCACACGACTCCCAGCGAGGGCTGCGCTGCATCCCTGGCCAGGCCAGCAGGTAGGCAGTGATGCTGCACTTTGATTTTATCCATATGCACAGACACATCCCAAGAGCACAAAGCGACAAAGCTCCAGACCTGTAACAGTCCCCAACGCTGCACTCGTCCAGCACTTACTGCAGCTCCCCAGGAGCTGTGAAGGGGCCTGATGCAACAGCGGAGCTGCAGCAATAACAAGATGTTAACTCTCCCATCATGGGCACTGCTGACTCCACTGACAGCCAAATTAACAGTTAACATGAACTGTTGGGGTCTCTTTGACTTATGAGAAAAACCCTGAATCCTTTGGTAAAGTACAAATTGAAACAAAAAAAATCTAGAAAAATGTTAGTCCACAAGGTCATCTCTAATGATTATCTATAGCAAACTGGGGGAGAAAACACACCAAAAAGTGTACTTGCAGCTGCCATACCTAAACAGGACAGGGTAGGGATCATCCCGTTCTGGAGGGCCAGTAATGCGGGCCATGGTCGGGAAGGACTTCACCGGCGGCTGAATCATTGTATGAGGAGCAGTTTCCATCAAATGGAAGATTTCTTCAAGAAGACTAACAAGCTTTTCCACCTCTCCTTCACTTATATTAGAAGATTCCAAAAGATGATCCATATCCATAGGAGCCTCCACATCATTTTCATATTCTTGGTTGGTTCTGTCCAAGTCTTGCTCTTGCTCTGGCTCAGTGTGGTTGGGAAGAGAAGGAGTGTTCTCTGCTAACTGATCAACCAGCCTTTTAATATCTGATAGAATCTCATAGAAGTGACATTTCTGGAGAATTGCAGAACCAGCAGTAACCACTCTCACAGTCTGATCTAACAGTATGAGTTCCAGGAGTTTCTGATAACCACTTTTCTCATGTACATCTACGGTACCTCTTAGAAACATTTCCATTCCCTCAGTCATACTAATGACGCTATCCAAAGCTTTAAAAGCATTAAGTTTAAGGGAGGATGATACATGATCTGCAAACAACAGTTCAAATAACACATTGATAACTCCTGCCTGCAAGAGGGCCGTTATTCCTTGGGTTCCACATTCTGCTAATGAAGATACCAGCTTTGTCCCAGCCTTCAGCTGTCGGACATTCAGAGCAATGGGCTGTTTGAGAGCTACCTGAAGGCTTAGTGCTTGCAGGGTCCAGTCTACGAGCTGGGTAATATAGCCTGGTTTTGTGTCTTTCACTTGCAGGTAGCTCAACCCTTTTACTATTAAACTTGGAATTTCTTCTAAAGCGGTGACCCACTTTGCACCCCTTTCCTCTTGATATAATTCCAGCAACTCAGTTAGCTTAACTGAGGCTTCCACCGCCCCTGAATTTTCTTTTTCTGGGTCTTGGTCCTTTATTTTACCAACTTCATTCTCAAATACAGTCTTGTAAGGGCAGCTGAAGTACAAAAGAGGTCCAAGCTCCCTTTCAAAAGGCTCATACGTGACAGGAGGCACGGATGCCAGATCTTCAGGAGTGTATTCAATATCAAAGCTTGGATATTTAAATGTTTCCCGTTCCAGATCAGCAATTCCATCTTCATCACTTGAGATTTGCTCATATCCATCATCTCCTAAAAAGAAAAAGACAAATTTATGAAACAAAATCAATTATAGGTAATATTATTATCTGAATAACTGCTGAAACTAAATTAAAAAGAAGTTTAGAAAATACGTTACACGTACAGTAAATTTTCTCTCTCCATCTACAAGTGAAACCCATTAACAGCTTTTTATAGAAAAACCGATACACTAATAGGTATGCATAAAACCTGAAGTCCATTCAACTGAAATATGCAAAATAACGAGAACACAGTTTAATTTTCTAAGATGTATCTACTTTAAAACTTGCAGTTAGATTTGCACAGGCATAGCTGGAAACTTTAGATAATTCAGTAAGATAACTGACATTCTTAAACAAAGAAGAATGGCAAATAATACACATTTTTGGCAAGTCAAACTACTTGACTTAATTTTTAGTTAAGGAAATGTTAGTTCCAGTTCTCTTTTTCTTAAAAAAAAAAGAAATCCAAATATCAAGGTTCATTCTCATCTAAAAAAAGCTGTATCTATTTTTCTCTATTTTTAGTAAATCTCATTGTTCTTTTCTGTAACTACTCCACAGCAAAAGTTCTCTTTAAGAGCTGTCAGAACCATAACAACACCACAGTGACCAAGGCAAAATGAGACCTAGTTCTCTTCACTCCTAATCATTGTAACAATATAGTCGAAATGTATAAACTGATTTTTGTTTCTATTTTTACCAGATTACTTACCTTCACCTTCTTCTTCCTCTTCACCCTCCTCTTCATCATCATCTTCCTCATCTTCCTCCTCCTCATCAGGAATACTTTCTACTGTTTGCTCATCGTCGTCATCATCATCGTCATCCTCCTCCTCCTCCACATCCACATCCTCTTCTTCATCCTCTCCTTCTTCTGGTTGATCTTCTACCTCTCCCTCATCAGAATATTGACTTTCTTGATGAATGGAAGTCCGATCAGGAGAAATTGGCTCAAAGTAATCCTCCCTGTGATCAACATCATCTTCTTTTTCCCCAACCACTAATAAATAAAGAAATAAAGAAATACAAAGAAATTACTGTAATTCTCTGAAATATAATTGTCAATAATAGGTCTTATGATACCACATTACATGCTGCAGACACAAAAATAATATATTGAGGAAAATTTCAGGTGGTTTGACTGAAGACAGTAAGACCATGAGAATTTTGTAAAGAATTCTTGGTATTTTAAACTATATAGAGCCCTCAGAACTCAGCAGATAATGCAGGAGGATAATGATTGCCAAAGCCAATGGAAATTTTGTATAAAATATGACCAAGCAACATACTGGTCAATAGCCAATATTCTCAAATACACTGACTTCTTAAATGGATATAACTTAACACATCCAACAGTTTTCTTAGAGATGAAACTGAATTGGTCCAGCAGTAAAAATAGACAGAAAACATATGACAAGGCAGGGACACAGAATTTGACTTCTGTGAGGCAGTGATGTGCAACGGATGAAGCAGTCTGCTCTCATTCTACCTGACACTGGCATAGGTTCATCCTCATCATCGTCGGGAGGAGGGGGGCCTGGCGGTGTCCTCGGGCCCCTTGGTTGTGGTCGTGGAGGGCTGCCATTGAACTGGTCTTCTTTCTCCCCATCAACTGTATTGGTTGGGAAAATAAAAATTGCATTTAATGGAAACACGGGAATATAAATGTTACATTTTAGTATTTCAGTGCTTGCTTTTCATTAGGAAACACCTTTATTTCTCAGCTTGCTCCTCAATTCATTCATTGCCATTTTAACATTAACACAAGCAAATACTCTTTGGTAATAGTTACCTGTAAGTCACAAAACAATTTTCATGATAGAAATTTTCTTTGTATGCTTTTTTTGAAAAGACACTTGACATCTAATTTTTAAATATTTCATGCAAATTAAAATACTTAATTTTGCCCATTGTAGAGAACTGTCAACAGATAATAAAACCACTCTTGGAAAAAAAAAGACAAAAATCTACTAAAAACATTCAACATAGCCTTAAAAATAGAAAAATAAATGACAAAAATATAAAGCCAGAAAAATAAGTCCAATGAAATCTCAAACATGAAGGAATTGCTTTTTCCGAGAATGTAATTTGGTTTTTAAGAACATCTCTGTCTCCTCTGAGCTGGTGCTAAGGGGCTTACCGTGTTTGGGGTTTCTTTTCAAACCAGGCTGTTGCTGGGGGGGAGGCGGTGGGGGCGGCGGGGGAGGAGGTGATTCTCTGTCGTGACTTATCACCCTGTCGACAGAGCCGTAGATGGCCAAAGTCAGACAGTTGTACCAGCCTCTCAGAACCAATCCATCTGTGTTGACCTGTTTTGTAAGAGAAAAAGCAGTTGTAAACAACATAAGGGAACTTCAGAAAAGTTACTTTGTTTTATTATTGCTGTATTACTCTCTGCATAAAAGCAGGAAAGGAGATGGAACACTACGCTACCCCTTTTCTTTGCATTTGGAAAACTGAGAAAACTTCAAATATATCAATTAGGAAAAATATATTTTTTCTCTAAAAGCATTCAATTCCTTTTAATATATTGCCTGATCTACTGCAGCCAATTTATTTAAAAAAGAAAGAAAAAGGTTCAAGGTTCACACAAACACTGATCTAACTAAAACAATTAATGTATTCTCCTGTTGTAATCTCAGCAACCCTCAAGCAAACAAATCTTCTAAGACTCATGCAATTAATTTAGTATCTATTGTGCAAGCTTTAAAGCAAAAAGTGTTAGAACTACCAGGTAGCTTTAGAATAAGGTCTTAAACAGTCTTAAGCAATAAAAGCTTTACACAGTGCTAAGACACCATGCTCAACCATACTTGCACTCAGATGACAGGCATGTGAAAAGAGGGAGAAGTTTAAAATAACATTGCATTACCTTTGCGTTAGGTCTAAAAATAATTGAAGTATTTTCATCATATTCAAGGCTGTTAAGTAAAAATATATGAAGTTATTTTTCCATTAATACAAAGCACATTTACAGAAGTGAAACATGTCAATACTGAATGAGTAAGCCAATAATAGAATACTGAAGCACACATAATGCAAAAATATTTTCATAAAATACTTCTTGACACACACAGACTCCAAAAAGTGCTGTCAGTTTAAAAGTAATAAAATCTTCACATCCTTTATGCATGAACATCTGTTTCTCACAAACAGATTGAATGAAAAGAGCAAGAAGAATAAATGATAGGAAAAGACAGACCAAAGAGGAGAGGTGTAGGAGACACGCATCTCCTGCTGTGCATCTTCTGCACTCAAAAATTCTCAAGAAGGAAAATAAAAGGTAGATAATGAAATTATGAAGTAATCTGGGGACTACATACCTCCCAAGCCTATCAAAAACAGGGGCACTTGGCTTGCTGACATTGTTGAAAAACAAGTCCAGTTGAAATGTATGCGGAGATGTCTCTCTGGAAACAAAACACAGGTAAAAGTTAAACCTGCCAAGCTCCCTGTCAGAATAAATAGGACAAACAAGAAAATAAAAGGGTTTTTTTCCTATTTAAGTAATTCCCCCAAATGATTCCAAGTTCTACATATGCCTGAATGTAATTTACCCTTTTGATACAGGAAGTTTTACTGAGGGACACAGGTGGCAGACAAAACAGCAGGAAGGGGAACCCGAGTCAGGCACCCCTTCTCTTTACCTCTACGTACCCATAGGCTCGATTGTCAGGCAGGCTGGTGTGCGCCCTGACTCCCGGGGGAATCACCCGCACTTCGTTTATATAAACCACACACGGGAAACGAACGACGTCGATATTGGTGCTCTGCTGCAAAACAAAGAACAGAGAAGGCTTAAGAAATACAAAATGGGAACGCAGCAATATACTCCGATATTCTCTGGTAAAAGGGAGCCAAATTAAGGCAGAAAAATAATAATTATAAAATTAATTTCCTTAAAGAGCATAACTTATACAACTGTTAAACAGGACAGATTTTTTTAAAATAAACCTCTGGCACATTTTATATATTTAATATATAATTTCCACAGAAAGTGTTACTGCCTCACGATCATGCTTCATGATCAGTTCCCTCTACTCATGAAAATATTTGAAACAGTAATAGCTTTTTCTTTTAGTCAAAAGATATGTTGACAAAAAATGGAACACTAAAAAAAAAAAAGGACTTTGAGTATACATTTCTCTTTTAACAACCCACATCAAATTTATAAAAAGAAAAAAAGAAAACGTGTGGTCGTATGTTTTATTTTTAAAGACCAAGGAATGTTACGTTGCAAACATTACGTTGCAAACTTTATGTTAGAAACATTAATGATAATGTAAGTACTGCTTTGTTAGAGTTATACAAAACCACATATGATGTTTACTTCTCTGATTTTGCAACAACACTTGAATACTTTTTAAAAATAACATTTCCATTTCCAACATAGTAATAGCAAATATAAAGCAACTTGCACTTTGACCCTGTGGAAGAATTGTTTGAAAGCAGGAACTCAGAGGAAAACTAGAGCCTAACAGAAGTTTTGGCATTACAGAAGCTCGCTTGGGGTGATTCACAGTTGCACTTCCAGGGTGGCTGGTGCACACGGACTCTGCTCCTCCACGGTTCCCTGGGCAGCACAATCTGCCCTCCTCGCAGCTGCAAAGGGGAGTGACAGAGGATGGAGCGGAGTGAAGACACCGTGGCCAAACTCTGTTGCACTCCCTGTGCTGGGCTGCTGATAAGCCTCACAGTGGCTGTTTAATGGGAGATGTAGGATAACATGTCCGGTACTGAGCCAGTAAAGGTGGCAAATCACTCCTTTTGGATGAACTTTGCTTG